AAAAAAAGCTGCAAGCCAAGTGAGCATGAGAATTCCTTGTTTTCGTTGAAGTCTTTTGTCAGATACATGATTTGCAAATACGTTCTCTCACTGTCTTGGTTCTTTTTCAGAAGGGTGGATCTCAGCCTGGCCTTGAACTGAACCGTCCTGCACCACCCTCTCCTGAGTGCGGAGATTACAGGCGTGCATTACCATTCTTCACTTTTTAATTCTCTCTCTCTCTCTCTCCATCCCTCCCTCCCTCTTTGTTTTTTTTTTTTTTGTCCATCTGTGTACTCTGGTTGTCCTGGAACTTGGCCCTGACTGGCCTTGAACACACAGAGATCTCCCTGCTTCTGCCTCCCAAGTGCTGGGATTAAAGGCATGCGCCATCACCCCCTGGCTGACCTTTTAATTTTCTTTTTTTTTCCCCCGAGACAGGGTTTCTCTGTGGTTTTGGAGCCTGTCCTGGAACTAGCTCTGTAGACCAGGCTGGTCTCGAACTCACAGAGATCCACCTGCCTCTGCCTCCCGAGTGCTGGGATTAAAGGCGTGCGCCACCATCATCGCCCGGCCCTTTTAATTTTCTTAATAGTAACTTTTGGAGAGCAATGTTCCCCCTCTGTTGGTTCTGGTGGTTGACAGGGGACTTCACTGATGCTAAAGTCACTCTTGTTCACTTAGCCACACACACTTCCAGTTCCGACAGAAGGTTGTAGATTTTTATGGAGTTCATTTGTATTTTTTCTGTGAGTATTGAAGGATGAACCTAGGGCCTTGCCTGGTATCTCTCTGCCTCAAGTTTTACCCAAATCCCAATTTACCTTTGATGAATGGTGCTTTTGTTTCATATCTAAGAGTCTATTTATTTTTTCCCAAGGTTGTAAGGCTTTTCTTTTGATTTTTAACTTCTGAAAGTTTCCCAACTTTGTGTTTACATTAGGGGCCTATGTGCATTTTCAGTTAATTTTCGCCATGCCGTAAGATACTGGTCTTGAGCCCTGAGCACACACTGTACTCAGGGCTATTCCATCCAGCCCTGAGTAGCCGGAACGACGGCCACAGTGCTGACTTTGACTTCCTCTTACTTATGGACGACACCGTGAAGATCTCTGGATTTACTTGTGTAGAGTTGCTGTGGTCAGAAATTGTATTGATTTCTCACTGTGGCCGTAACAAACCACTTGAAGAAACACAATTGTCTTGTGTGTGGTATAGGCCCAAGCCTCAGTAGGCTAGAATCAAGGCTGCTTTGCTTCTTTCTGAGGCTGTGTAAGAGTCCATGTGCTGATGTAAGCACCTTCTAGAGAAGTCCATGACCCTGGCCTCCTGGGCCCTTCTACCTTCAGGGCTGCTGATGAGGCCTCTTCTCATCCCTCTGAGCTGATCCTCTAGCTTTTCTCTTAAGGACTTTTGTAAAGACTCTGGGCTACCCATGTGGTCCAGGGTGATGTCTCTTTGTGGTCCTGACTATGAACACAGCTGTGAGTCAGTTCCTTTCCCCGCATTAGATCATCTGGCCGTAGGTTCCAGGATGCTGGCATGGGGTGCAGAACACTGAGACAAACTTACAGGTCTTAGGTGAGGGTTGGGTTAGCTATGGCTAAGAGGAAGTAGGAACCTGAGGAGGAAGAAACAGACCAGACAGGACTGACACGGGCTGCCTATCCCTCTCCTCCCAGTACCCCTCTCCCAACCTTGCTTGAGTATGCGGAAGGACAGGATAGGGTGGTGGTGCTGGCAGATGTGTGGCTCCCAGATCCCAGGCTGAACTGCTATGTCCTCTCTCCATGCTGGGTCTGGCCTGGCCTTGATGTCCAGCCCTCTGATCCCTGAGGCTGAGGAGATACAAATCATTCATTGCAAGATGTAGGGCCTCTTGCTGGGCAAAAGCGAGCTTTGGGTTCCCGTTGCACAGCTTAGGAGGAATGAGAGGGTTGGTTGCTATCAACACTCCTTATTACTGCTCTTCCCCACTTTTCTCTACTGATGGGCATCTTGGAACTGCCCCCCCCCCCGGGCCCGCCATGGCTTGCTATTCTAGCTTCCCAGGGCCAAGGGAGGGCCACAGATTAGTCACCAGAACAGAATTCGCCACTTACTCAGAACTGGCCACCAGTGTACCCAGTGTCTTGTTTAGGGTGCTGACAGGTGCTGAGGAAGCCCTGCTCCATCCCTTCTAGTCCCTTCAGCTCCATCCTCAATGCTTGCCAGAGGGACACTGCAGCTCAGGGGATGGGGGGGGGCATGGGAAAGGGTAGGTAACCAGTAAGCCTCCCTGTTATCCACCTCTAGTGACAGGGGAACCCTGCTATCAGCATAGCAGTTTAGGAAAGGGGCGCTCGGCGAGGACAGGACACGGAGCTAGGTCAAGTCGGGCGCCAAGTTAGCTCTCTTTGATGCACTTCCATCCTCATACTGACCACAGGGTTTACAACTATAGAGCTAAGATCTAGGCCCTGACAAGGGTGCCCTTGTGGGCTTCTGGTGAGGTCTGGCCAAGAGGTATAAATCAGCCCCGCCCCCACGTCTGGCCACCTCCGCGGGTCCCGGTCCAGCGGTCTGCCTGTAGTAGGTGAGCAGAATCACTTTAGTGGCCGTCAGGGTCTGAGATTGAAGGGCTACAGAGGAATTTCAGGGTGTGAAGAGGACTGAGGAGACCTGTCTGACGATTTTTTTTTTTTGCGTGTGTTGAGGCCAAGAGGATAGACCACGGGGGTCTGAAGTGGATGCCAGATTGTCTGGCACCTTGTGCCACCTGTCATGGGCGCAGGAGCTGCGCAGAACTGTCGTCATGGCAACCCGTACTACGCAACGGCCCTAGGACCCGGGTCCTCTCTTGGCTAGGGTCTGAGCGTCCCAGGGGCGCAAGGCGGGGCCTCGACCGGAGGCGGTGCCCGCGGCGGAGGGGCGGAGCGCAGCACCAAGCGCCTGGGCCCCGCGCTGAGGCTCGGCGGGGCCGGCCGGCGCGCTGCATCTGGCCGGCCCGGTAGGCGTGGGATGCGAACGGCGGGGCAGCAGAGGCGGGCTGCTGGTCCGAGCGGGTCGGCAGAGCTGGGTGGTAGGCGGCGGCTGCGGCTGCAGAGGCAGCGGCAGCAGCAGCGGCTGCCAGCTGGGCCTGTGCTATTCCCGCCCCCAGGCTGCAGGCCGTGGGATGGGCAGGGGCAGCTGCATGGCGGCGGAACCAGGCCCAGGCATCACTGGGGAAACCTTTAGTGGGGAAAGACAAACTGAGACGCAACCTGCTGGGAGCCGCTAGACCCTCCTCACCGAAGTCGAGGAGGGAGGATCCTTCCTTGCCTCAGCCTCTCTTTTGGAGGTACCAAGCGAGTAGGGGGTCTGTGCAAACCTGAGGGAGAGGCAGGCATTTTGGAGCTTGGAGGCCCTGAATCTGTGTGTGATGTTAGAGCAGTGGGCAGATTTGGTAGAGATGGACATTAGGGCCTGGCGTGAGAGACCCAGGGCAGGTGGACCTGGGCTTGGTCCCTGGGAACATGGCTAGGACAGAGTGTGGGGGAGGGGACGACAGGCTTGGGTTCTGGCTTTCTGGAGGCCAGGGCACTCCTAGGGGTTTAAAGCCTTTTGCTCGTGGCGTTTGGCATTTGACAGTGACTGAGCAGGGAGTGATGGCGTGAAAATGATGGGGAGAAAGGGACAGCCAGCAGAGACTCCTTGGCCTGGACAATCGCTAAGAGGAAGGGAATTCTCAGTGTTAGTCCGTAGCCAACGGAGTCCCAGGTGATCAGGAGTGGGACCAGCCTGTGCCTCCAGTGGGCGTGAAAATGGAGTGTGTGGATCTTTGGGCCCCTGGTGTGGCAGATGACTCCCTAAACACTTTAGTAAAGCTGTGGTGTAGCTTTGAGAACCCAAGGGGGTGAACAGAAGGGGCAAGAACTGAGAAGAGGAAGGGACCATGGACTGTGGTGGAATACATCACTGTCACGGGTGACAATAAATTTTATGTCTTTGTCTAGACAGGACAGTAAACAGAGCCCTCATGCCAGGTGTTGAGGAGGCTGGAGAGGAGAGCCCTGATTGGAAGTGACTTTTGCCTGGGTGGGTGAAGGCTGCCAGGAGTGTGAACAGGCCCAGATATCAGTACCTACATTCTGGGTACCACAGACATGACAGCCAGTCTTAGGGACTTACGAAGAGACAGAGACGGTCTTGCCACAGCATTCCTGAGGTTGGCCCTGAAGGTGGAGGGGAGCCAACAGCAGAAGCCCATCAGAGGAACTGGAAGTGTGCTGATTCAGACAGAGGGTACAGCAGGAGGTGTGGCCAGGAGAAGAGCGCTTCTCCAGAGGCTTCTCCGGAGCGAGGGCTAGCGGTGGTGGGTCAGGGAAGATAATGATCTGCTTTGCCCTAGATAGCCTCAGGAAGGGGAGAGATTGAGCTGTGGGTAGAGGAAAGGGGGGTGGTGGGGTACAAGGCAGTCGTAGGAAAGTACGAGGGACTTGGAGGATGGGTATCTCAGGTTTTGGATGATGGTCCATCTAGGATTGAAAAACTTGCTCCGTGCCTTGTCTCCAGGGTGGGATCTGGGTTTCCAACTCTCCTTGTGCGCCTAGTACAGCACAGCTACCTCAAAATGCCCAGAACCTTCCAAAAGAAGTGGCCTGAAGCCGCCGCTCCGGGCGTTGTGGTCCAGGGTGTCAGAGCCAGGAGAGACGGAGGTTTGGGTCCAGCCGTGACAAATCACCAGGGCTTTTAGAGTGGCGGCCGGGGGTGGGGGGGGAACCACTTCCGTTCCATTTCCTTCCTGGCGGTGGCGGGAATGATATCGGTCCCTCAGGTGGGGCTGCAGCGCCCTCTGGAGGCCCCGTTCCGGGGCTCCAGGTCTCGGGTGCTAGCAGCGGCGCGTGCGTGCGTCCAAGGAGGCCTCCTGCACCGGGCGTGGAGACAGCACCACACGCAGGAAACAGCCAGGCCTGGGAAGGCTGGCGTGCGCCCTGCCAACCCTAGCCTCTGTGCCACTCTGCCGCACAATCTGACTTGTATCTGGTCTTTCCCAGGTTCCAAACTCGCCGGCTGGGAGCGGCAGCACACTCCAGGTAGCTGGACAAACTCCCCGCACCCGGATGCGCTGCGCCATGCCGGAGGGTTGAGCATTGCGTTTGCAGCTCCCTGGGACACAGCAGGATCTCGCCCCGCTTTGTGTGAGGACTGCGCGCCAGGGCCGAGCCCGGGCCGCTGACCATGGTGCTGCCGCCTCCTGACCGGCGCCACGTGTGCCTGACCACGCTGGTGATCATGGGCAGTATGGCAGTCATGGACGCATACCTGGTGGAGCAGAATCAGGGCCCGCGCAAGATCGGCGTGTGCATAATTGTGTTGGTAGGCGATGTGTGCTTCCTGTTGGTGTTGCGCTACGTGGCCGTGTGGGTGGGTGCCGAGGTGCGCACCGCCAAGCGTGGCTACGCTATGATCCTCTGGTTCCTCTATATCTTCGTGCTGGAGATCAAACTCTATTTCATCTTTCAGAACTACAAGGCGGCGCGTCGTGGAGCGGCCGACCCGGTGGCTCGCAAGGCACTGACGCTGCTGCTGTCAGTGTGCGTGCCAGGCCTGTTCTTGTTGCTCGTGGCACTAGATCGCATGGAGTATGTGCGCACCTTCCGAAAGCGCGAGGACCTTCGTGGCCGCCTCTTCTGGGTGGCTTTAGATTTGCTGGATCTGCTGGACATGCAGGCCAACCTCTGGGAGCCACCGCGCACCGGGCTGCCTCTGTGGGCCGAAGGCCTCACCTTTTTCTATTGCTACATGCTGCTGCTGGTGCTGCCCTGCGTGGCGCTCAGCGAGGTCAGCATGCAAGGGGAGCACATTGCACCACAGAAGATGATGCTGTACCCGGTGCTCAGCCTCGCCACTGTCAACGTGGTGGCCGTGCTAGCCCGTGCCGCCAACATGGCACTCTTCCGAGATAGCCGAGTCTCAGCCATCTTCGTGGGCAAGAACGTGGTGGCATTGGCCACTAAGGCCTGCACGTTCCTCGAGTACCGTCGTCAGGTTCGCGACTTTCCACCACCTGCGCTTGCGCTTGAGCTGCAGCCGCCTCCTTCCCAGCGCAACTCGGTGCCGCCGCCTCCACCACTGCATGGTCCTCCAGTGCGCCCCCACGGACCCTCACCCACTCGTGATGCGTTGGACACGTGACAGGGCCCCGCGGGCCGCACAGACGCTGGACTAGCTGCGCGGTTTGCATGGGATGGGATGGGGCAGGCTCCCATTAGGGACAGGTGCTGTGAGTACCTGTGCAGTGAGTGCCTGGGGTTCCGGGGCGCGTCTGCTTCTTCATCTCAGGAATCTCTCGGACCACGGACCCTCAGCTTCCACTCCACTGGCTCACCTCGATGCACAGGGCAGCGGGTGAGGCCTGGTCCCGAGTGGAGATAGATGCCTCAACCCCCGCTGGACTGCCAGGGTGGGAAGGGAGGGCAATGTTCCAGGAGATCTGGACCTATGGTAGGGGCCCCTGGCTCGGAGTTTGGGGCCAGGGCGGCCTCTGTCATTTTAAAGACTTGTGTTTACAGTTTTGTACCCAAAGCCTGGCTGTTCTTCCTGTTTCATGAGTCCCCTGCCTAACAACTGGGCAGAGTGGCAAGGACTGGTGAGTGTTGGGAACCCTGGGGCAGCCAGGTACTTCTGGAGCAAGCAGGTATTTCTGGGGTCTCTTCAGGTGATTCTTATTAGTTCCAGGGTGGGGTCCATTGTGGCTCTGTGTCATAGACACTCTTCTCCCACCTCACTGCACCTGCCCCTACAGACTGCTCTTTCTGAGGTATCCTGACCTCCCTCTCCGTATTCCTCAGTCTCTACAGTTGTCCAGGCCTTATGTCCCTGATCTTCCCAACTCGGGTTCAGAAGTGTCCTATACTTCTTCTCTTCCTGTACAAACTCTCTCTGCCTGTGGGTGACTTGGGCTCATGACTGCCAGTATCAAACGGGATCAGGTGCCAGCTTCGTTGCTAAGTTGAAGCTGCGTGCAGCCTCAGCCAGAAGAGCGGTCTGGCCTCATGTCACCCCAGCCTGGCCCTGCCCCAGACACTGGCCAGTCCCGCAATGCCCTGGCCAAGTGCACAGACCTTGACCGTCTGTCTGCAGGCGGTCTCTCCCTGACCTCCACCCTGAATTCACTGGGACTGGGAGGGTCTCGTTGTGGCAGGGGTCTTCAGCGAGAGTGTTTGAAGGGCCTTATCTGTGAGGGTGTGGTTACATATCTTCCAGGCCTGGCACCTGCAGCGCCATGCAGACCCATGGCCTACCAGGCCCGTGTTCACTGCATTGTCCAGTGCTCACATCTGCATGCTTGTGATCCAGAGCAGGGGGGCTGCTGTCCAGTCTGACCTGTTGTAGAGGGGTGTGGATCCAGCTGTGCATGGTAGGGTAGCTCCATCCCTGTGCCCACCTCTGGATGTCCCTTCCCTACCCAGAGAGTTGCTTCTCTGAGTCTGGATTTTGAGAGTCACCTGTTTTGCAAACGGCTGTCCTTGGAGACAGCTCTTCAGGGGCACAGGGAGGACGCATGGCTACACCCCTCACCTGGTGGAGTGTGACCAGTGCCTCTCTTTTTGACTTCCATGCTGGGCCTTGTCCCCACCTCTGACTACACCCCGCAGTGCCTGATGAGCACCCTGAAGGCCTTGGCTCTGGGTTCCACACTCCCACGACACGGCAACCCAAGCATGAGCCTAGAGACTGGAGGCCTACGGTATGGAGAGTGGCCTGTAAGCACACTGGGCATAGCCTGCAAGAGTTCCTCAGCTAGCGGGCAGACCCTGCCTGTCTTTGGCTCTGAGCCGTCTTGGATGGGGAGCACAATAGATGAGGCTCAAGAGGTGAGCTGTGAATCTGAGAGTCTGGGCTGTTGCTTGTGTCCTCCCCTTGCTGAAGCCAGGGCCATCCTATCTGTCTGGTCCCAGTGTTTACATCAACCTGCATCTAGCCATTCCCTCCCTAACTTCTCGAGGTGGCTTGTGGAGCGGGGAGCTAGGGGTCCCCTTGTGCTCCTCAATTCATTCTTGCTTAATAAATCCCGGTGCTAGGTGGCTGACCTTGACCCAAGAACCTGGGTATGATGGGCATCTGGGAGAGGCATTGGGCAGAGCTAGTTCTTAGGACATGGGCCCTCAAACAGCAAATGTCCCAGGGATGTAAGCTGTGGGTTATGTGATTAGATCTGGGAAAGGTACCATGTGTGTGTGGGATAGCTGTAGTCATGGGGCGCCCACTGAACAGTTCAGGTGAAGCGTTGGGTAAGGAAGCTGATGTCTGCAAAAGGGCAGGGAGGCGGGTAGTGAACAGACTTGGGGGCCACTCCCTGTGAGGTGAACTGGTCTGGAGGGCTCTGCCTAGGCTCTCGTCCTCAGATGGGCTTTGGAGGAATGGAGGGTCAGGGTGTGCTCACTGTGAGGATCCTGAAGGAGGGGATTCTGAGATTATGTGAAGTATAAGAAGCCACAGGTCAAAGGCTAAGCTTCCAGAGTACTTTAGACAAGTGAACCAACCAGCAAAGGAGGCCCAAGGAGGGAAAGGACGGGAGGCTGGGCACTGGAGGGCACTGGAGGCCGTGGTGGGTAGGTTGCTGGACGTGCCTATGGGGTCTGGGGAGGGAAATGCTCCCTGAGCACTTGGGCAAACGATTCTGGATGCAGACAGTGCGGACAGGCAGCTTTCAGCCCATTTGTGGGGAGTGGAGAAAGAGAAACGGGCATCAAGGCTGTGCCCAGGTGCAGTGACCCTCCAAGGGGCTGACCCATCCCTGATGTCATCAAGAGCGTGTTCATCCCGTTCACCTCCTCCCGGGCAAGGTCACGTGATGTTTCCTAACTCATGGAGCAAGACTCACTTAAGGGTCAGAAAAGTCCCTGTCTGGATACATTAACCACCTATACCCACGTCCCAGCACGGGACCTGCTGGGTGCTCAACTTGTACTGTTCCGGGAGGCAGTGGCATTGCTGTAGGGAGCCTGGCCTTTCCGAGATCTGAGATCCTAGCCAGAGTCCACACAGGTCTGCAGACCTGGAGTCTAACCTCATGGTGCTCAAGACTTGTTCCCACAGCCAGGTGCTGGGAACTGGACTCCGGTCATCCACAAGAGTAGCAAGTACACAGAAGCCCTCTTAGCTTTCCCAACTATTAGTTTTGTTTTGTTTTTTCACTTTTGGTTTTCTGAGACAGGGTTTCTCTGTGTAGCCTTGGCTGTCCTGGAATTCACTCTGCAGTCCAGGCTGGCTCAGGCTAGCCTTGAACTCACAGAGATCTGCCTACCTCTGTTTCCCAAGTGATGGGATTAAAAATGTGTGTCACCACCGCCTGGTCGAACTATTAGGTTTTAAGATGAGAGTCTCATATTGTTGCATAGATTGTCCCCAAACTTGCGGGCTCCAGTGACATTCCTGCCCCAGCCTCCTGAACAGCTGAGAATATAGGTACCACTTTCTTGACTTGTACAGTTTGTTTGCTTATTTATTGAGACAGGGTCTCATGTCTCCCAGGCTGGCCTTGAATTCACTATGTAGCTGAGGATGATGGCCTTGAACTCCTGATCCTCTACCCCTACCTTCCCAGAGCTGGGATTATAGGTATGAACATCGTGCCCACCACCCTTTTTAAAAAAGCAGTGCTGTATGAAACCCAGGCTTTATGCATGATGGGCAAGCTCTCTACCAACTGAGCCAATCTTTAGCCCCATTAAAAAAAAGGTAGGGCTGGTGTTTTTCTCCTTTCGGCAAAGCTGTAGACCAACCCTATCTAAGCCCTTTTCTAGCACAGGTGAGAGGGTTGTGTGCATTATGACCTTTTCCTAGCCAGGCTTTGGTAAGGGGCAAGGGCAGTGGCGATGACTGTGTTGTGGTGTGCCAAGGCCTGGACAAGCCTCGAAGACCTCAGTTCTGTCCAGCCACACTAGCTAGTGGCAGAGGAGGTGGGCTGTGGTGAGCTGTGTTGGGCAGCACCTGCCAGGTCCTTACTGCCTCCCTTGGACCGGGCCAAGAGGAAACAATATCGTCAGGCTATGATGTGCTGCCTGTTGAGCTGGGGATGCTGATTTTGGGATCAGGAGACAATGTTTTCTCTGCCACCATGACACTGTGGCAAGCTCTCAAAGTCAAGTCCCAGACATGACCAAGCATGGGAGCAGAGCAAAAAGGTATAGATAGAGGCTGTCCTAGGAGCTAGTTCAGGCCTTGGGTCCCATTGGGTGCCAAGCTAGGGCTTCTGAGGAAGGAAGGATGCTTAGGAATGCCCATGTGATCTTTGTTTATTGTGATACTATTTGGAATGATGGGATAGGGCCAGACTGTCCTTACCAGTTTGGTCCCAGCACAGGGGACAGCCTGGACCTGTGAATCTTCATCCTTCACTGCCAAGCACACTCACATCTGCTGTAGAACAGTGGCCTCAAAGTAATGAACCTGGATGGGTGGTGGTGGCGCATGCCTTTAATCCCAGTACTCAGCAGAGGCAGGCGGATCTCTGTGAGTTTTGGGCCAGCCTGGACTACAGAGTGAGTTCCAGGACGGGTTCCAAAGCTACACAGAGAAACTCTGTCTCGAAAAAGCAAAACAAAACAAAGAACAAAAAGCAAAAAAAGCAAAACAAAACAACCCCCCCCCCGCAAAAAAAAGAAAAAAGAAAGAAAAGGAGAAAGAAAAATAAAACTGTAATTCATCAAAATCAAGCCCGTTCATCTTAATAGGTGAATCTTCCTATGGTCAGATTCCCGAGAACGAAGAAACCATGAAAGATACCAACCAATAGCGCCAGAAAACTCTACTCTCTCCTCATTCAGATGGCTTGCCCCGCCTCCTAGGAACCCCTTTGCTAATAGCCTAGGATAAAGAGAGGAGCAGGGACTACCTCCATGGTAAGACACGAGTAACTTCACTTGTGAAAACAAGAGAAGAAAATAAACTCAAAGGATTCCTCAACCAGAGGTGGGCAAGGAGGGCTATCCTTGGCTCAATCTGCGTGGGGCAGGTGTGTGCCAAGCCTGCAGGTATGTGGGAATTCTCTGGTGGCAGGATTGTTCCTGGTGCTGGATCCATCAAGATGCATGGGCTTTGGATGGGTGAAGAAAACAGTGGGTCAGTGGGGAGGAACATGGCAGAGTGCAGGAGGGAGGCAAAGGCTAGGACTCCTCAGGAGTGAGGAGGCCTGGCCAGGACCGGCCTTACAGGGCTGTCTTAGTAGGTCATTATTGCCCTGATTAGACACCGTGAGCAAAGCAACCTGGGGAGGAAGAGGTTTATTAGGCTTCCTCATCTCTGTTCATCACTGAAGGAATTCAGGACAGGAACTT